GATCACTCTTTTTAAATATGCATAGCTTTCTTTCCATTTTTACAAAAGCAATAAGTGTTCATTTTAGTCAAGCTAGCAGATGTGCAAAAATAAAGAAATTTCAAAAGATAAATTCCCTATTTTCTTTGAAACAACAAAGAAAATCATAATAAAAGAGGTAAAAACATAGGACACAACTTCAATTGCCCATGGCCCAACAAGGGCTGGGAGCAGCACGGTGAAGGGGGGAGGGGGCTGGGGACACCTCCCCCCCCCAGAAGAGTTGGAGCAGAGGGGAAAAGGAAGGAGAAAGACCAGGAGGTAGACACAGTGTGCCTGTAACTGCTACATTATAATTTCTAGGTGTGAGTCAAATTACACAGAAAATTATTAAAAAATTATTTGAGACAATTATTTCTCTGAACTTCAGACCATTCATGGTTTATTGTGATATACTAAGCTACAAATCAGATTTAAGGGGTACTTTTGATTATTTCCCAGTGAAATTCATCGACTTTCCGAAAAGCAATCATGGAAGCAATAGTCAAGTAATTTGAAATGCCAAGTAGTTGTCAATGGGAAATCTCTATTTGTTCGCCTGATTTAAAGGAAGCAAGTTATTTATTCATTGACAAGAACAAATATGGTTACCGGCAAGGACACATAGTCACCAGTGAGTACACACAGTCTATGGATGACATGCACAAGGCTATAAATAGGAATGGCAGTCTACTGTCGAACAATTTTTAAGCAACTAGAGTCAAGTCCAGGTAAGCAGGAATCTGCTGTACAACAGTGGCTCAGCGTAGCACCTGGAAGAGATGTGTCAGGGATACCCCAACATCCAGGACACTATACTAAGCCAAGCCTGACCGGGTAAAAGAGAAAGACCTACTGCCCCACGGCCTGCCAGAGTTAGTGGCACCTCGGGGTACCAACATTCCAGCTACGAAATGCTATTCTAAGATGTCGCCATCTTGAATGTGGGAATGTACTGGCAGAAAAGGAAGTGTTCCTTTTCATTTGAAATCTGTAGAGAAAGCAGATAGCAATGCCCAATATTTCTTAAAAGAGATTTTCTTTTATGTACAGGACCTTAACAGGATTACTTGTCAAGGACCTGTTCCATCACTTACAATCGAAGAAAACCTGTTTAGAGAAAACTACTTTATTGAAAAAAAAAAAAATGACTTTGGAACATTTGAAATACCTTGACCTATGATGTAATGTCCTCCAAGGAAACTGAGCTAGCAATTCTTCACTGGCAATGAAGTCACCTATCACCTTACTGAGTGTACAGGTAAGTAATAGCTTCAGATTGATTGACTGCAATGAATAATACCCACAAGTCATAAACGTCAGCAGAAACCCAAGAAATCCAATTCTGCTGTATTGTTTTCTACCTGTCAGAGGCTACAGCTGTATTTACACACTGCCTATCTCAGAATCTCGGCTGTTGTACGTTTTACTCTGCATATTTGCTTTCCAGTAGCTGGGGTCATGGCAGTTCTGTACGACAGAGCTACTGGGGTCCCATGTGATCTACATACATGTGGACTCCATCCTTCAGGACCTAATACAAGGCGAGTGTAAGTTTTGGAACAGAGAGTCACCATCCTGGACTACGACTAAGCAGCCTAGGCGTCGCCTCCTTTTTAAAGCCCTGGGTAGAGTTTTAATGACCCACAGAACTTAGGTTTTATTAAAAGGGATCTTGATCAGCATTTATTCAGATCCTACTATATTCCATACTGTATATAGCTGGTATGTAGAGATAATGGATTTAAAAAAAAGTTCTACACACACCATGAAAACTAAATTTACAAATGCTAAGAAAACAAAGAAAAATGCTTTAAAGAGAAAATGGTGAGATTCACAGAGGAAGTTTTTAATGTTTAATATTTAATATTTTTAATGTTTACAAAGAAGATGGACCAGAAACCAAACACAGTTGTTTAAGAGGCATTCAATGATATAAAAAAAAGAGATTCCAAAAAGAAAGTATTTTTATAAATATGTAATAATTAAAATGAGAAATATTTATTAATAACTATGTCAAATTTGTTAAAAAGTTCAAACAGTATAAGACCAAGTCCTATCCTCAAGAATCTTACGATCTATTTTGGTGTGAGGGCAAAATTAGATAGTGTTATAGGCTGTGTGTGTCACCCCCAAACTTCTACTCGCTCTCATGGGATGGTACAAGGAGCAGGGGCCTTTGGGAGGCAATTAGGATTAGATGAGGTCATGTGAGGGGAGTCCTCACAAATGGGATTAGTGTCCTAATAAGAGTCTCAAAGCCAGCAGTCTGCAAACTGGAAGCGGGCTCTCACCAGAACCTAGCCATGCTGACACCCTGATCTCAGAAACCCAGCCCCCACAACTGTGGGAAATAAATTTCAATTGTTTATAAGCCACTCAATCAAATTTTTTTTTGTTACAGTGGCCCAAACTAACTAAGACAGGCAGGCACGGGTCCTGATACAGATGTACAGATACACATCCTCACACACCACTTATCTATCAAATGACACTAAAAAGGTAAATATTAACTAATGCTGGAAGGTAATATTTTCCTAATGGGTATAGACAGAGAAAGGTAATATTTAGAATTTTCCTGTAGACTACAGTACTAGAGAAAGCTTCCTGAAGGTGAAAATGAAATTATACCCTGAAGACGGGTTAGATCTATCCTGAGACAACAAGGGGGGGAGACATTTCAAGCAGAAGGAATCGAAGTATGTGGAAGGCACACGAGGGCTACTTGGAGACAACACACCAGCCTAGAAGAGTTAAGGGAAAAAAAAGTAGGATGCGATATCACATCCTAGTTACACTCCTCAGAGAGGCTGTTTACAATCAACACGTGCCTAGAACCAAGGGGGTTGGGAAAGGCAGTTGTCTATATCAGGGTTTGCCAAGCATCACCCAGAATTAGGTTAGAAACGCAAATGTTCAGGCTCCCCCTCAAACCTAACAGTCTCTGTGGGGTGAGGCCCTGCACTGTGGGCTTAACAAGCCCTCCGGGTGACGCTGATGTGGGCTCAAGTTTGAGACATACTTCAGACTTAATGATAAATTAGACTGAAATATGCTTCAAGCAAGCCTTTAGGAGATACATAAGAAACAGTCTATGTACTGAAGACAAATGTGAATCTATTTTATCTAATGCACAGAAAATAAAATCATGTTCTTGATTTCCAGACCTGCTTCAACTACTTATTTCCCCTCCTCCCTTCTTGGCTTCTCAATATTGGAGTGCTTTTCATGACATTTTAAATCTGTATGAATAGGAAGCTGAGGAATTCACTCCTCGTCTGATTTATGACCAAAAATATCAAGCTCTTCATGTCTCAGGTATGGACGTGCTGTGAATTGAGCACTGGCTGTCTCAGGGCTCATAATGTCACTTTCCCACAGAACCGCTATGGAATAAGGGTGACTAACCTGTTCTCCACTGATTGTGATAAACACTTACTGAAAGAAATAACTGGAGATCTGGTTTTTGCGCTCGCTCACACACACACACACACACTCACTCACTCACTCACTCACTCACTCACTCACTCACTCACCCACCCTCCCTCCCTCCCTTTCTCCCATCCCAAAATACACCCTGGGAGTGCCCAGGATAACAGAATCTCAAACATCCTGAATAAGACAACAGCAAATTGAAGTACTACAGTGAAGAGAGTATATTCATCCTGGAAGAAGAATACTAAATTGACAAGCATGTTTAAGTAACACGTAATTTAAATCCACAATACACAGTCTTCATTTTATAAATATACACATAAGACAATCTTGGGCGGGCGGGGGGAAAGTCTCCTCAGGAGAATGTGATTCTCTACTTTGAGTTTCACTTTGATTTTTGGTTATATTTTCAAAGATGTCAGATCACCCCAAAATTTTAGCATACCAAATTTCTCCCAGCCTCTTTTAATACTTAATAAGTTCATAATGATTTCATGTGAATTTAGCAGTAACTATAAAAAGCAAAGTAATGTGAGGAACACTTTCTAATTCCATTTAAAGTCCCAAGAATGCCCAGTGAGGGTTGGAAGATATCGTTATTTATGATTTATTTTAAGCAACTTTGATTTAAATTTTTTTTCTTAACTTTAAAGATGGGACACCCAAATATTCTCAGGCTGAATTATAAATGTATTTTGGATGTAACTTGATTGATTAATCAACTGATGCCATGTAATTGTTAGTGGAAGTTTTTTTTTTTCTTTTCTGAGCATTTGTTGGGGTGACATTAATAAAAGCAAATAAGTTTCAAGTGTACAATTCAATAGCATGTCGTATACATATTGCACTGTGTATTCACCACCCAAAGTTAGATTTCCTTTCGTCACCAAATTTTTGATCCCTTTCCCCCACCTTCTTTGAATGTCCTGCACCACCAACCAATCTGCGTGTACTCCACAGCCTCAGTTAGCACAGAAAGCCAAACTCTCATGTAGTCAAACCAGGTCCACGGTACTTTGCTTGTATTGGTATCATTCGTCCTAATATACCTGAGCTGATCTGCATATGCCCAGCAATAAACCAAACGAGAAGATAAAATCAGATATGTCATCCGTCACTTGTCAATTGCGGAGGATGTTATGGTATAAATGCTAGCATGAAGTCCTCGAAAATTCACTCAACTAAAACATCATTCTATAGATAGTTGCAACAGTCTGTTGATCCCAATGCATACATTTCATATCTCTAAAAGTTTACATAACTAGTGAGAAAACATCCTGAGTAGGACAATAACAAATTTCTTTTGTGTGACCCAAAATTGCCACAAATTGAACTTAAAACAGATTTGAAACAGCACCTATGCACCCTTTTCAACAGCTACCCAGGACAGGCCTTTTTTATGGACCCTTCTCCCTCTGGCAGCCCCACTAATCAGAGAACAAAGGTCCTTAGATCTAATGGCAGCAGCGCCCACGGGCCATGTAAACCCCAAAATGGAGGTCGTGGCCCTCCTGACCTGCACACTGAGCAGAAGCACAGAGACTTACACTGTGGATGCCCAGTCCCCATCTGGGAGGTGGTTTCTGTCGGTTCCAGGAGGCCCATGGACAGCTGCCGTCGTGGGAGATGGCGAGGAAAGAGAGTCTAGACTGCTGGTGAGGGTGTCCTCCTTACAAGGGTTAGGGCTGTCACCTAGGGAGGAATAAAAATCAACTTTCAAATCAACTCAGAGGAAGAAAAACAACTCCACTAATAATTAGATGGCACCACTTAATTAGTCAATCAAGTTGTACATTTATAATTCAGCCTGAGAGTATCTGTGTGTCCTATGTTTAAAGATTTTGGGTGGGTGGATGGGGGGGGGCGGGGGTGTGTGTGTGTGTGTGTGTGTGTGTGTGTGTGTGTGTGTGTGTGTGTGTGTGTGTGTGTGTGTGTGTGTGTGTGTGTGTGTGTTTTAAATCAAAGATGCTTAAACTACACAGTGAGAAGTGTTTTCCCCATGAGAAAATACAATAATCGCAATCAGATCAAATGAAGACGAAAGCCTTAATGTGACTAATGGCTCCCCAATCCACAAGGAGCACTGTTATAACAACAACTTCAAGAAGAATTCAGAGCAGTGCACCTGCCTCACAAGGGTCAATCTCTCATTTCTCGTCACCTAATAGTTCTTTAAGCCATTACGAGTCACCATTCAGGACTTCATAAACTAAACAACTCTCAAGGAACCTTATCTTCTGTATTATAATATAATAGCTCGACCTATTAAAATCCTGGACACAGAGAAACTTCCATTTCTCTGTGAACATTAGGGAGGATATTACACAAGAATCAGGCCCCTGAAGTGACTCCAGAGGATGACTTTACACCAAAACTAAAAGGCATTTCTTAAATGGATTGCATTATTTATTCACTCACAGAGGACCATTTTATGAATTACATTTAGTATCATCTGTATATATTTTGGGCCTGGGCTTGCAGAAGATGGAAAAGAGAGCTCCCAAGAAAAGCTGTCCCTCAAGTGGTCTTGTTATCACAGAATCTCAGCTACCACAGATGCTCATGACCAGCAACTGTCAGAGCCTGGACCCCTCAACCAGATTGGCAATCCCCGTTAAACATGAACTGCTCTGGGGCACCTGAAGATGGCAATGACATGGCCTTGACTTTATAGGTGATGGGTGATAACAGCTGGTCAACAAAATACAACCCAGAAGCAGAAGATACACAATGTAGGAGTCTATACCGCCAGCCACAACCGCTTCTAACTGACTAAACCTTACATTTCTCCTCAGTTCTGGGTCCTAGACACAGTATGCCTGAAAGTCACAGCAGCAAGGAACCTGCTCTCAGAAAACCATCTTACACGGATTTCAATTCTACACATAATCAAGCACAAGAGGAATTCTGGACTCTGGTTAAGCTAGATCCCAAAATGCTAATTTTGAAAACTGACTGTATGAAATAATTCTTATTTAACTCTGACCCAGATTACAACTAAAGATAAGAAAGAGAATCTTAGAAATGAAGATCCAGAAAAGCTAAATTCAGAGAAGTAGGACTTAGACATGGTGGTGAAAGCTGGAAGAAGGAATTCTCCACAGGGGCAGGGAGTGTGGAACATCCACACTCACTGGTAAGAAAATGTTTTCTGAGCTTTTCTTTTCCTAATGGGCTGTCAGGGAGGGTGGGAGATAAGGTATGGCAAGAGAAAGACATGCTCTCTGTGGGCAGGTTTTCTCCCTGGTCTAAATCTCCCTGAAAGCCTTGCTCTGACCCATTTACATGTGTACAGTCCGGAATACTCTATGATTCCTCGTCCAGTGATGTCAC